TATAATCCTATTAAATCTCTTCAAAAAAGAAAATCTTAATTGAATACAAAAATCTGTATATCACATTGTAACGCTATCTTGGTAAATATGAAATAAGATAGAAACTCTACGATGGCACAAACTTGATAAAAAGGAACTAAGATGGATTATCGATGCCAACTTAATAATGATTTACTCAGTTAGTTCGAATCTCGTAATGCATCAGATCCTTAGAGTGAAGCTTGCGATTGCCGGTATATTGATATTCCTTTCAATTAGGAGAGGGAGAGAAACTTGGGGTTTAGGCAATTAAAAATGAAAAGAGGTTCCTATTTACAATATTAGCTAAGGGAGAGCAACCCAACAGAGAGTGACAAACCAGCCTCTTTTCAAAAGTAATGTGGATATCTGAAAATGTCAATTCATCCAAACGAGTAGTAACAGACATAACAAATGTATCATATTCAGAGGGCAAACCATCAAGAATTTAATGAATCAAATCAACGTAAGAGACAATGCAACTCGATGCAGCCAAGGCATCAGATAAAGACTTCACCTTTTAAATGTAATCGGCGATGGATAAATTAAATCACCTTTTTGAACATGAGCCAAATCGAGTTTGAGATCATGTATTATATTCTGGATTTGTTTGAAGAAAAGAACAAACGGTTGAGTCGGTCCCATACTTGTTTCGAAGTTGTGCATCCAACAACTTATGCCAATACAGGTTCAGTGAGAGTGAAGAAAGAATCCAACTGAGGATCAACTGATCCTGTTCGACCCAGGCGGAGAAATTTGGATTCAAAACTTATTGATTGGACAGATCATCCAGGTGCTGAGTTGGGTATGGAAACCATCCATCAACATATCTGAGAAGTTGATTCCCTTGGAGGGCTGGAAGCCTGGAACGACTTGCGCACTCCAAAGAAGATAATTGCGTCTGTCGAGTTTGACAGAGATGAAATTCAACTACCTTGAGTCTGTGAGGAAGACATTGTTGTAGCCATAAAGGGAGTGGAGGAGTGACGACATGGGTCTAATGACTGCTCGGATACCATAAATTAAGGAACTTCATTATCATTGATTTACATCAGTAATATATATACAAGTGTAGGTTACAAAGATAAGAACTAAAAGAGATAAGATAAGCTATGTACAACAACCATGAGATAAATATTATCTAGGATAGGATAACGTGATAGCCAGATGTTATCCCTTGACACATTTTCATGCAGTTTCATGTTTCGAGCTTTCCATATCAGCTTCAAAACAACAACAACTTTTACCAATCTCTAACTTTACAGAGCATCGATCCTTGCTTCTTCAGCCCAATAGTGTAGTCCCACTTGAAGTCCGAACCATATTGCTTTTGGAAATAAGCATCTAAAGAAATTAAAGGATGATGCATTGAATTCTATGGAATTGATTTCAGAAAAATAATTTGTCCTTATCAAGAATTGCATCCCATAAAGCTAAGAAAAACTAATATCTAAATGGAATTTTTAATTTTCATATAGATTTCTATGGAATTACATTTATGGATGATGTTGATAATTATTTAACAAACCACCCGTATGGCTGTATGTAGATGAATATTTAAATGCTTCTACAGGGACCATATCATTTGTTATTTGATATGTTTGGTTGTATTTATAGAATATGATCAATAGTGCTTTGATGAAATATATGTTTTAGAGCATTGATAGCAGCATATACTTTAACCCAAAGGGATTTACACTGCAGTTGGCATTTCTTATTTCAAGGACTCTATCTCCTTTTTGCACTTAAAATAAAGAATGCCAAATGCAGCCAACCTTAGCTCGTGATTTTGGGATTCGTCTTTACTGTAGTGATTATTAAATTAAGGCCTGGAAAATAATGTGGATCTGATGAATTTGTTTTGTGTTTTCTCGGCAACCAAAGCGTGGAGACAACCCTGACTCCAAGGAAAAGGAAAGAAACAAAATAAAATAATGACATGACATTAAATAGAAAAGTTCATCAAATTCAGTTACGAGAAATTCTTTCTTTCTTGGTAGAAAGAATCTTGGTTCTTGAAGAGCGGAGATCATTGCATGTGCTCCACTTGTTTTCCCAAACCCAGTAATACCTGTAAAACCGAGAGCTTATTCATCAATTTACAAGGGAAACAGACAACGAATATTAAATTCTTTTAACTTACCGACTAATATTGGCAACACAGAACAAGAAATACACTGGATTAGGAGCTAGCTAGCTAGGTTCCATTGCCTTGGCTTGGTATCTGGTGGTGACTGGTGAGATTAAGTCATCAGGCCTCCCTTAAAATTCATTTTATTAATAAAATACAAACAAGTATCATTGCCCATCTTTTTTTTTTTTCCAATTCCCCCACCAGATTTCCGAGCTATATATGGTGTTTTATCAGTTGTTATGTATAAGAATTGTCTCTCACACTAGAATTAATATCTAGTCTTGTTTATTGTTTGCTTGAATCGTAATTAAATATCCAAATATAATATTTTTCTAAAGATAGTGAGGCGAGGCCCCTGATTAACTAATTAAAAGAAATATTAAGAGACGAGTGATTTTCCCACATATATATATATATATACTAGTAATATACATGAATGAAGACAGTTAGAACAGGGACTGATTTTTGGCCACATCCTCCTACTACTTCTGTTAAATCGTTCTTTGCCTTAAAAAAATGGAAATGAAAGAAAAACTCATCACTATTTATATATGTAATATGTGGTCAGTAAAAAACATATATAATGTAAGAAAGACAAAAATGATTCATTGTTTTTTATTTACATGGTATGGTGCAAGGCACAAGTAACAGTGGTGATTAGAATTAGTGAAGATTCCAACAGCTATTAGCATACGTAGATCCGTAGTCCCGTTCGGATCGTTGTATGCCCTCCACGTGTCTCTCTTGTATCATGGTGGTTCATTAGAGTAATGATTATGCTACTCTGTGGCTGGCAGAATTTAGAGATGTTTTCGTGTCTAAGAATTCAGATACTATAATCAGCAAAACTATTCATCCAATGGTCAAAATCATCTTGTCGGCCAACTGGATAATATCGAACAACATCATGGAGTCAATAGTCAATGCATGCAAAATCGATTTAATTTCTGATTAGAGAAATTAATTTTATTTTTCAAAAAATCCAAATACATAGAAATGCGCCATAAAAGCTCCGAACTGCCTTTCCCTCAGAGAGAGAGAGAGAGAGAGCAAAGTTCTTAAAGTTATGTGAAGTTCCGGCCGCCTTTGGGGCTGGGTGGGCAACTACTGGAGTGGAGTGGATGGGCCATCGGTAGCTATGGCATTATAACTCGGCACTCAGCCACAAGCCCCACCAACGCATGAACACAGCTAGCTCCTCAGAAGTCAGACCACCGGTTGCCATCCGATGGCCACTTATCAGGACTCTCACCCATTTCATTGGCACTACGACGAGCTCGACGACAAGAACTTCCAACTCCACGGCCGAGGCCTCCTCCTCATGATCATCCTCTTCTCCCTCTTCCTCTTCTTTACCATCTTGTGCCTTTACGCCAGATGGGTCTATCGCTATCGCCATCACCCCCCTTCCATCTCTAGCTTCACCGCTCATCCAACCCCTCCGCCAGCTCCCTCACTTGGCCTCGACCCCGCTAGCATCCAGAGCTTGCCAATTTTCTTGCACCGAACCTTGACGACCGCCAGCGATGAGGCTCAATGCTCCATATGTCTTTGCACATTCCAATATGAAGACAATGTCAAGGTCTTGCCTCAATGCCTCCATGCTTTTCATCCTGACTGCGTCGACAAGTGGCTCAAGACCCATTCGAGTTGCCCACTCTGTAGATCGTCTCTTCGTGTCGACACGGCTGTTCCGTGATAATTGATCAATTATGAAGTGAACAACGATGAACCTGATGATCACAGAAGAGGAGGCTGCTACCAAGTTTCCCCTTTTCATTTCAGCTGCTTGAAGCTGTTTCATCTCTTTTTTTTTTCCTTCAGTTTTTCTTCCTTTTTCCCTCTATCTCTTTTCTGGAAAATTTTCGCATTGTAAAGTTGTTTTATTTCTTCTAAAAATCCTCGTAAGTTAAATGATTTATAGATGCAAGAATCTTCTGTATATGGCCTCTTTTTATAGATGGAAGAAGAAAGTTATATGACTCTCTCTCTCTCTCTCTCTCTCTCTAACATATGAGTTTCAAGCATAACGGATCAATGGATATTGGAGATGATATTCCATGGCTTGCCAATAACAGATAGAAGCTACCCCTGAAACTTGTAATTTGAAGATGTAAAGGTGTGGTGAGGTTTTGCGTTCGATCTTATCCCTGTCTCTTTCAAAGAAAAAGACATTTCATTCAACTATGCCTACCTCAATCGAACTCCCTCTTGGGAATTTTACCCAACAATTGAGATGAACTTTGAGGTGACATATAACCATACCCATGTTAAGTTCATCTACAGAAACCACAGGCACTGTAACAGAAAAGTAATTTATGTAATTAATTATATGCATCAGTCAATTGGTTTTCTTTGCATACTTGAATCCACGAAGAATTGTTATTGTGACATTGTATATCAATTGCCAAAAGGTCAATTCACCAGTTTTTTATCTTTACGGTGCCACTAGGTAATCTAAGGTATCGTTAAGACTTAACAGGACAGAACGTTGCAGAGTGTTTGGTTTTTTATTGAATGACAAAATTTTAAGCTGGGATTTTTTGAATTGGGTGTTCTTACATCTTAGCATCTGTTAATTATTTTCCATGTTTGATCTGCAAACTGTAATATGCCAACAACAACAAACATACCCAGTTTTTAAATCATGTGGAACAGACAACAGAGCTTGTATTATTTGAAGAATAAATTACAGAAACTGATAAATTCAGAATGGCATCTGTTTCATTACCCTCTTTCATGGGGTGTTGAATTTTGTATTTACATGGTGTATACACACACACACACATAAAAAAAAAAATAACAAAGAAGTGAAAAGCTAAAAACTCCAGGATTTGAAATTTTGAAATTAAAGATAAGACGAGGTATAGCAGGAGCAATCGGGATTATGTATGGCCTTCCTTCCGCTGATGTCTAGTTTAGAACAGAACACACAGAATCGGCCACCCCACCTATCCCCATCTTCCTCTTCATCATTGTCACAGTCACCTGTCATCTCCGTAAGCTCTTCTTCCATGGTCTCCTCCACCTGGATCCTCCCATCATTACAATCGGCAAAAACCAATCCCAACCATGAAAGAATCATGAACAGAAGCCTATCAACATGTTCGTCATACCATTTCCTTCCCCTCTTCCAAAACACTAGGGGCCCAACAACCACTCCTGCTCCTCCTCCAAATCCCAATCCAGTTGATATAAATTCCCAATCAAACTTAACCCCAGATTTTTCCAATAACCGCTGCTGTGGCAATGAATTCTCAGAAACAGTGCAATTTTTCAGCAGCGGTGGCCCGCACAAACCTAAATTCCCTAGGAAAGAAGTTGCTGTAAATGTCTGCATTTGACTTCCTTGTGGTATCATCCCCACAAGATTGTTCCATGAGAGGTCCAAATATGAAAGAAATGTAAGGCCCGCCAATTCTGAAGGGATTTCCCCAGTCAACATGTTATCTGAGAGGTCTAACGACTCCAGTTGTTTAATGTTCCCAAGAGACGACGGGATTGGACCTGACAGAGCATTGTGTGACAAGTTGAGAACATAGAGTGAGGTGAGGTTTCCTATCACTTGCGGGATGTCCCCCTCGAATTCATTGCTTGACAAGTCAATGGAAGTGAAGATGGTTAAGATCTTCACCAGCTGCATTTCCAACCCTTTACTAGTAACCGTCACTGTGTCCTGATAGAACCCCCCCTGACTGAATTCCAGGAACCTGAATTTCAATTCGTCATGCTTAAACTTTGACTGGGTTTCATCCTCCTCAACCTTCATTGCCTTCCAGCTCAAAAAGCAACCTGAGGGCAAATAACCTTTAAATTTATTCGAAGAAAGGTCGATGATCTGCAACATTGGGAATGTGTGATTTGCCTCTAGACTATTATTGATAATGGAACCATAAAAGTTGTTGGACCGTAAAACAAGGACCCGCAGTTGAGGCAACTTCACCAAACAGAAGGGGAAGGTATCATTTATTTGATTGTTCCCAAGGTCCAGAACCTCTAGCATTGTGCAATTGGCAAGAGTTGTTGAGACACGCCCTCCTAGTCTGTTCCCGTTGAGATCGAGCGTCCTCAAGCTACAGCCATCCGGAAACGTCTGAGGTATACTTCCAGAAAAGTTGTTCCCATGAAGATTCAGTACCCTTAGTGTCTTGGAAACGCTACCCAAACAGGAGGGGATCGTGCCACTCAAGCTGTTATTAGACAGATCAAGAACTTGCAGATAACCGGCATTGCATATTGATTCAGGGATTTCTCCAACGAGTTTATTGCTGGAAAGGGAGAAGAAAATAGTGTACATGAGGTAGGAGGAGATGTTGCTTGGTATGGAGGAGTTGAACCTATTGTTTGAGTAGTCCAAGTAGGTAGCAACTGATGACAGAATTGGGATTGATCCTTGGAGCAGATTGGAATGAAGGTCGATGATGGCCAACGAACTAGAACTAAGATTCGGCAATGGTTGCTCTAGGCCCGCCAAGGAGTTATAAGAAAGATTTAGATGAATCAGAACCCCATTACTAATATTCCAAATCCAAGATGGGATTACTCCCTGAATTTTGTTAGCAGAAAGGTCTAGATGACTCAATATCGACTGGTTTGTTTTCAAGAAATCAGGGAATTCTGTCAGATTGCAAGAAGCCAACTTCAATGTGCCAATTTGAGGGAATGGTAACAAGGTGGAATTGCTAGCACTCGTGTTAAAAACCAATCCACTATATGAAAGGTCAAGGTTCGAAAGGTTATTGAGTTTCTGAATCATTTCGAGCTGTACAGTGCCATTGAATTTGTTGGAAGAAAGTGCGAGGATATTAAGACCCTGGAACTGAAAAATTGATGGTGGGATCGGTCCTTCCAACTTGTTGCTACTCAGATCTAATGTTTCCAGAGGTGCCAAAGATGCATTATGTAATCCACTCAGTGAACCAACAAGTTGATTATGCGCGAGTTGTAACTTCTGCAGAGATGGGAGTGTAAAAAGAGACAAGGGGATTGTCCCGCTGAGCGAATTCCTTCTCAGGTCAAGATCCGCAAGTTTCACAAGTTTGTCCCAACGAAAGGATGACATAGAACCATTTAAACGATTATTTGAAAGGTTAATTTGGGTGAGATTCTCAGGCAACCCCGAAATTGGTCCAGTAAAATTGTTAAACGAGAAATCCAGAGAAACAAGTTTAGTAAGGTTAACCAACGAAGATGGAATTGACCCATAAAAATTGCAACCATCGATCTCTAACTTGGACAAGAACTTGAGGTTCCCAATAGAAACCGGCAATGCCCCAGTGAAACTTGTGTGAGAGAGAACCATGTTTTGAAATGACGAGGCTTCAGGAAATTCCGGGAAAGAACCGCTGAGAAGGGGATTGAGGGATAAATCAAAGGTTTGCAACTTTGATAGCTGGAAAATCTTCTCTGGGAATTCTCCAATCAACCTACAGGAGCTAAGATGCAGGGATGTCAAATTCGTGAAGCTTGCAAAGAACTCAGGTACATTGCTGGAAATGTTATTCAGGTTAAGGCGAATATCTGAGAGAGAACGAAGATTTGATAGGGATAAATCCAGAGGACCTGAAAGATGGCAATTTGACAAGCTCAGCACTTGCAGGTTAGGGAGTGCGGAGGATACGGCCCAGCACCATTCAGTCCCCTGCGCTGAAATGTTTGCTCCATCGAGACAAAGAGTTGTCAACCCTGTTAAGTTCTGCACAAGCGCTCTAAGATCCGGTTGTTCAAGTTTCAATGATGTCTGTCCAGTGAATAAGCTAGAGAGGTCAAGGGAAACCAACCTTGTCAAACGTGAGATCTCAATCGGAATCTGCCCTGCGAAACCTGAATTGGACAGGTTAAGAGAAGTCAAGTTGAGGAGCTGGCTAAACCCAGACGGAATCCGAGAAGCGTTGAAGGTATTGTAAGCTAAGTTCAAGTCCTCAAGGTAGTGAAGTTTAAAGAGGCTGCTAGAATCATCAATTCCCCCTGATATCAATTTGCTGCTGAGATCGAGACCGATGACATGGCCGTCCGCGTCGCAGTAGACACCTTCCCAATAACAACAGTCACTGTGATCGCTTGCATTCCAGGAGGAAAGATTTGAAGCAGAAGCAGGAGCAATAGAAACAGCAGTGGAGAAAGAAAGGTTTCCCTTTAACTGGAGCAACAGCAATTCCTGGTCGTGAAGACATCTTCCATGGACAGAAACGCGAGAGATTATTGAGAAAACTGAGAGAGAATGGAGCATGAGGAGCCATAAAAAGAGTGGAAATCTCATTGGAGGTGATTGTGAGGCAAACCCATGAGATGTATGATCTACGATTTGATGGTGGCTCCGGGGGCTATGAGACCCATCAACTCGAAATTTGAACTTTGTTGCCTCGTTATTGTGAAAAAGATGAAGAAGAAGAGACGGAAAGCAAAACCGTTGCCCGTTGAACTTGAGAAACAGAAGGAAGAAGAAGAGAGAAGAGGAACAAAATTGCCACCGGTAGAAGAAGAGAACCGTTGAACAAAATTGCCACCGCGCCAGGGGTAAGATAAAAACGACCCACGATTTCTTCCAGAGTTTTTTTTATTTTTTATTTTTTTAAGCCGATTTCTTCTAGATCTTTAATTCAAGAGTTTTATTAATTTATTATAATTATGAACCCTTCACTGCTTTTACCAAACTTATACCGACTCTTGACAGATACCCCTGCCAGAAATTTGCCGTTATAAAAGTAATGGTGTTTTAAGATTGCAACTCGTTTTATACATCTTTGGGCTACAAACGGTTTGCGATTATTCGAATTCGAATTCAACCCTATTAATAAATAGCCGATCCGAATTCGATTATTGGGAAAATCTATGATACAGGAAAGATATGGTATAGAAAGAATTTTGACCAATCAAAATATATCGATGATTTGTTTATAATTGGATTCTAAATTCATTAATCTGATTTGATTCAATCATATTTTTTTCTATATCATAGTCGAACCCTATATATATATATACATTTAAAATTCATTTATATTTGTCTTAAGATTGCATTTTCAATATTTAATTTAAATCTTTCTTATATTAAGAAGTTGTATTTTCAATAAATTATCATAGGTTCAAATTTTATACACGATATACTTTTAAAGTCATTTTTTAGTTCATTTATTAATAATATATAATATTTGTTCATTTTTAATCTAAATTATTTATAATATTCTATAAATAGGTCCACTCATTAACTCAAATTAAACTCTTAGGTGAGTGAATTAAACCACTTGGAGGTTGACGTTGTGAGTGGTCCGACTGTTTGACCTATTTATAATATTCTATAAATAGGTCCGACTGTTTGACCCGAACAGTCGGTTCGATCTAACAAAAAAATTAAAAAAATTGGAAAACGGTCAAAACTGTTCGAACAGTTAATCGGCGGGTTCAGCGGTTTGCTAATCAAAATCAACGATTTGGGGGGAAAAATGGGTTTGGGGAAAAACAAAACTGGTCAAGTGACCGGTTCCCGATTTTTCCAGTCCAACCGTCCAATCCGGTCCAGTTTTGAAAACCATGATATAATCAATTCAAAACAAGATTCGGTTCTAATACTGATGAGGCTGTTCCCGGGCTTAGTTGGCTTGCCACCTTGGACCCAACGTGGCAAATAATTCGAATGTTTGCCTGACCATGTCATCAGTCCGCATCATTGCCACGAGTGGAGCGACAGCTATAAAGTAGATCGAAAACCCCAGGTGAAGAGCGGTCCGTTGTGAAACGATAAATCCTCTACAACTCCCTATGATGGTGAGTATGCCCTGAATCCTTTATAATTCCTCAAGTTATTTATTCTTATTCTACTTTTTTAGTATTTTTGCTTTCTTGCTTTCTCTTGCTCTTCAGCTTTGTTCAATTAAGACCAACTCAGCCTAGCTGACCTTCTCTTTGCCTTACTAATTTAAGCATCGGAGTGTCTTTTCCCAATGAACCACCTCAGGGCCTCTCACTTTGGTTTTTAGTATGTCATCGAGCTCTCATCACTTCGTCCTACTCGTATCATCTGACACGACTTGTCCAACATAGCTAAGAGTTAAATTGCCTCATCCAACTCAGTAGGACCTTTTTGTATATGTTTGGCATCAATGCTGATGTGTGGCTTGTAGAGAAAACGATGTCTTTATTTTTGTTTGGAATCGTTGCTGCCAGGTAGGACGTTTCCCGGAGCAACAACAACTTTTTCTGTTTGGTACCATTGCTCCAAGAAACGTTTTCAGCACTGGTACCCATTATCTAATGCCACATCACTGCCCTGTTGGCAGCAATGAGTTAGAGCTCCAGAAAATGTCAAATTTAGCATTGCTCCAAACCAATGGCTTCCCGATTTCCAAAACATGACTTAGAGCATCGTTTTTTCATAAAAAACGATTCCAAACAAATATCCGTTTCCTGAAACACTGTTTTTCCGATGTGATACTGATGTGGCGCTATTACTCCAAGAAACAGCAACGATGCCAAACAACCCCTTTATCTACTACTCGTCTTCCTCCTGACCCATTGACAGCTCTATTAATAATGAATAGGAGAGAAATAAAGGGGTATTTTTATAATATATATTTTAATTTCGTCATGTTATATGTTCCCTAATATTTGATTCCACATAAGGTATTGTGTTTTTTAAGTGTGTGAGAGGGGCTTTATAGAGGCATGAAAAAGTAAGGATAAGCTCAAGAGAACGTTAAAATTAGAAACTAAAGAGGGGGGATATTTAATTATAAAATAATTATTAAATATTTAAATTAATTAGTTATGAGTTATATACAATGTTCAACTCCAAACACGTGTACATGATGTCATGCGTGTCCTTATCATCCTCTGCTATTGGCTGCGTTTGGGCAAATTTCAGTTGGTCAATGCGACCGTGTGAACCACAAATTGAAAGCAGAAGACAAACAAGTGATCAGAACACGCACTCTAAGAGTCTAGTCTACTATCTCATTATCTCATTCCATTCGCGGCCGAACGCCAACACCATGTATTGGGTTATAATAATGCATTAAAAAGTTGACTGGGGTGGGGATTTCAAAAAGGGAAGGAAGAAAAACAGAATGTGAGAGGAGAGCGCTTCCTATTCTAGTATTGATTCTTCTTCTTCTCTAAGCAGCTACAAGCCTATAACTTCATGAAGTTGCTGAACGCGACAAAAGATATGGTCGTTTTGGTTACTTTCCACTTTGCATGCAGCTTTCACCATCTCCCAAGAAAACAAATATAGTGGGGTTCCGTTGTGACCGAACGACTCCTACCTTCCTCTTTGATTTCTTACAATGAATATTCATTGCATGTTTACTAATAATCAACTCCTAAATCCTGATCGTATGCCGATTTTTCTCTTTAGATTGTTCTTGAAGGAAGTGGGGGAGGTGGGTCGGTGTAAGTCTGAAGTTTTTCTTTTTTTCTTTTTTCTTTTTTTGTCTCGTGGAACGTTGAGTGGTTGACTTATGACTATTATGTATATAAAAAGGCTTATGTTATTGAGCATTGGAACATGTGTGTTGAAACCAGTGGGTGGTTGGAGACTTGGAGTATTTATTCACTTTGAACAACTTTAAATCAAAATCAATTCATGCGCATTTTTGGTGGAGACCATATATGAGCCAGAATATCCTGTGCATGCAGTTTCAATTCCAATACTTGTTCTTGTGCTTTTTTGAACTCAAAAGCCACTTATGATAATAAATTAAAAAAGAATTTTTTATTCTTTTTAGATTGAATTTGGTCTTAGTGAAGTGGCGTTAAAGGCCATTTGTTCGTCTAACGAATAAAACGTCCTGCCCACATTTATCGCAGTCATACATGAAGAACATCTCATCCTTGGCATAGTATTATGCAGGGGGAGATGTTTTCAATTCAAGGGGGTAGTGTATTGTGGGTTGGAAGTATGTCTTTTTATTTTTTCGTTTGGAAACGTCGCTGTCAGATAGGACGTTTCCTGGAGCAACAGCAATAGTTTGTGTTTGGTACCAGTACTCTATATCTGTTTTCAGCACTCATACCCATTATAGGAAGTCCACGTTATTATCACATTATTTCTTCATTGGTAGCAACGAGCTCCAAATTGAGAAAATGTCAAATTTGGTGTTTCCCCATACCACGCCTTCTCGATTTTCAAGGCGTGGTTTGAAGCACTGTTTTTTATAGAAAAATGGTTTCGAACATATTACCATTTTCTAGAGCACCGATTCTTCCAACATAGCATCGATGTGTCACCGTTTTCTAAAGCAACGACATCGATGCCAAACACTGCCTTATTGGTATTACGCCTGAAATGAAACAAGTTTGAAAGGGAATCTATACTATCTATAAAAGAGAGAATGCCCCTTCTTTCTGCAATTTTTATTGGACACTTTCTATCCTCTTTATTTAAGCATACAATGGATATAAAGAGAATATATATATCTTTTACTCTCACTTTAAAACCTGTCCGTTTATAACTGTTTAAAAACTGCCCATTTATAACTTTTCAAAAACTGCCTATAAATTATAAATAATTTTATCTTACAAATATTAACACATGCAGATGCACGTATAGTCTGCCACATTTATATATAAATTAAAGCATTCAAAACACGCTGAAGGGATTTTGTTTTGATGATAGCCTAAGGAATTTTATTTATCCAGCGAAAAAGTAAAAAAACAACTCAACAGAGGGAACATTAACAAGAAAAATTCCTAGGCAGGAAAGCTGTGGACGACACATTATGGCCTGCCACATTTCATCAAGTTCTAGATCATTGTTCTAGAGATGACCAAAATGACGAGAAATTATATCTCACAAAATTTGAGAATTGAGAGCACAATTGCTGCCACTGCCTTATGACTCCAATGAAAATACAAACAGGTCAATGATGGAAATATAATATCATCATCTGAATTGTTTTTCTTTTTTATTTTTTTCATTAATTGCCCGTACATCTATTTATTAGTGGTGGGGGTGGGGGCTTAGTATGGCTAAATTATGAATACGCTCAATACTGAAAAATCCATTAAAGTGTGTCTAAGAGCTTTTTATTCTGTATTTAGTTTCAACTAATTTTTTTGAACTCATAAGCCAAGAACTTTATTCAACTTTTAACATGAAACATTACATCTCATCGAGAGCAGATTGGACTAGCTCATGGCTGCTCTATTACAGGACCAAAGGGTATGATATCAAACACAGGATGAGAAATTTCTTGAAAAAGATTTGCAATTCAGGGCAACTAACAGAGATTTCTAGGGGGTTCCAGATCTGAAGAGAAAACCTGGATAGCAACCTGTGCATCACTCTCTATGATAATCGAGTTCACGGAGAATGATTTTGCCAACTGAAGACCCTCTAGAGTTGCTCTGAATTCAAATTCGTTGGGAGAAGAACACGTCACCATCAAGGCTCTGGCTACCAATAGAAATCCAAATTCATCTCAAGCAATAACAGCAACTGCAGCTTTTGAGGGAGTCCATGCTCCATCTGTATTGATTTTGATGTATAGATGAGGAGGCTTGTTCCAAATTATTGAGGTAATTTGAATAGATGAATGAGATGCCGAGCCCAAGTTTCCTGACTGGGTCATCCAACTTCTTCCACACAGATTTGCAATGTCTCCAAAGTGGGAATTATAGGGAATGAGAACAGCAAAATGAGTGAATTGCTTCCCATTAAAATAGGTTTGACATCTAGCCTTCCAAATATATCACATTAGAATAGTGCCTCTAGCTAATAAGGAGAGATCAAACCCCTCTTCAACATTGTTATCAATTCTCTTCCATTCCTCCAACAAGAAAAATAAAATACCTTGATCATTACAACTGTTAACTTGCAATCCCATGGATGAGGCAAACCAAATTGATTGAACCACATGGCAATGAAAAAATAAGTGTTTCATAGTTTCAGGATCTTCATGGAAAAGTCTACAAATGGGATCGATGTGATTTGATCTCTTGGCTAAATCAGCAGACACAGGGAGGGCACCTTTACAACAATGCCAAATAAAAATTTTTATTCTAGGTAAGATGTATTCTGTCTTCCAAAAAGATTTCTAGCTCAGTCCTGGACAAACTCACATAGAATTTGAAGATTCTTGTGAATTGGAAATAAGTTTGTACCCAGAATTACAAGTGCAGTTACCATGAGCATTAGATGGGATACTAGTTCTCAAAGTCTTAGTAACAGTCTCATTAAAACCCTGTGTAAAAATAGAATTACTCCATTTATGAGAAATCTGATCTATAAGAGTAGCCACCATGTTCATGGGATGGTTCCAAGTTATAGGTTTATCTATTAAACCATTTGGTAGCCAAGGATCATAAAAAAATATTTACATTCTACCCGCTACAAATAATCCACCTATGCCCTTTAGTTATATCAATTCTGCAATCTAGAACAATAGTCCAAAGAGATGAATCACCAGATTTTCTTTTCTAATGGCAGAAAGTATCATTCAGTAGACGTTTTGCATGAAGAACCTGGGCCCATAAAGAGTTATTTTCCTTTAAGAAATACCAAGCAATCTTCATTATTATGAGCGCTTTATTAACCAAGTCAAAATGTCTAAATCCTAGTCCACCTTTCTCAATGGGTAGTAAGAATGAGTGCCAAGCCTTAAGATAAAATGGTTTTTTTTTTTCTATGAGACACACCCCACCAAAAGTCTCTACAAATGGCAGTTAGTTCCTTACAAATTATTGAGGGCATAGAGTAAAACAACATGTGGTAAATAGGCATTGAGGCAAGAGTAGATTTAATTAGTGTAGTTCTTCTTGCATGAGAGAGAACCCCGTCTTTCAACCTTTAAGTTTTCATTTAACTTTATCCGATAAAAATTGCCAAGAGAATTTTCTACTAACGCCGATGAGTGGGCCACTTAGGTAGGTATCATCTTTTTTCATATCAACAACACCCAACAAATTCTTAATTGAGTTTTGTGTAGATATTGGGGTATTTTTGCTGAAAAAGAATATGATTTATTCAAGTTGATCACTTGTCCTATCCAATCATAGAATTTTTGTAAAGTGGCGTTCAAGTGCTGGACTTCTTCAACTTCAGCTTTTCCCACTAATAATAAGTCATCAGAGAACAATAGGTGATTAATTTTCACACTTGACCTATCGAATCTGAAGCCTTTTAAGGTTCCAGTCTCTAAAGCATTAGATAACATCTGAGAAAGAATTTTCAAATAAATGATGAAAAGATAGGGTGATAGGGGACAACCTTCTCTTAAGCCCCTCTCCGGAGAAAAACCTTCGCTTGGCTTTCCATTAATCAAAATTTTCATAGAATTAGAGGAAATACACGCCTTAATTAACTTGCAAATAGATTCAGAAAAATCCAACAGTTTCAAACACTGAATGAGGAAAGGCCACTCCACCCGATCGTAGGCTTTTGAAAGGTCCACCTTCATTACAAAGAAACCTTCTCGGCAATTACTCTTATTCATCGGGTGAATTAATTCACGAGCTACCACAACATTATCAATTATTTGTCTCCAGGTATGAATGCATTTTGAAAGGGAGAGATAATTTTTGCAAAAGTGGCTTTAGGCGGTTTACAATCAATTTTGCAACAACTTTATACGTTATATTTGAAAGTCCAATTGGACGGAAATCACTTGCGAAGGTTCATCAAAAATGGTGCAAATGAAATGACAAAAGTCCTCCCCAATAACATTCCAACTGATGGAGGGTGATTTGGCCGGACCTTGTAGCACGGGGACACGTGGGTACAACCTGGCATAAGTGACAGCTCAGCGTGGCAGCCTGGCCATAACTCGGCGTACTAAACTCGTCGGAGCCCAGCAATATAACTCGGCGGACGTAGCAGCTCGCCGAGAAGAAACATTTAGCATACTCTGAATTCTCCCCAAGGGAGGAGGACTCCCGAGCTCCTCTCAGTGGGCCCCAAACTCTTCCTTCCTGAGAAGGGAACACCCCGATCTACGGGAAGTATCCCGAAGTGAGGACACTTCGGGATAACCCCATTAAGGCTCCTGCCCATACTTGCCTAAGGCTCGCCTCAAGCACTCGCACCTCGGCTACCCCATCACCCCGGTGTAGGGTAGCTCGGACCAAAGCAGCTCAATGCAAAGTAGCTCGGCAACCTGCAGAAAAGATGTGCCTGACAATAGTACCTGCCGAATCTAGAGGCTGCGCCCACGTCTCTTGTCAGGCGGCGTCGTGCCTGCCTCTTCTGCCAGATGTGGCACGCCTGACAAGTCCGTACCCTGCAACGGCTGCCCACATCCGCCACCTCGGCTCTGACAATAACGACTGTGGCAAAGGTGGTTACGCCTGATTTGAGAGATCTTCAATATAAAAAGACCCCGACCCTCGAAGAGAAGAGGTATTGAACTTGCGCCATCTGCACTCTCAGCTCTTTGTTTGTATTCTTCAGTTTTCTCAGAGTTCTAACTTAAGCATCGGAGTGTTCCCGCCGGGCGAGCTCCCCGGGAATTCTTCATCTCCCTCTTCGTCTCAGGTACTGTCTGTCACAACTAGGAGCCAGGTTTCCGCCAGGTAGGAGTGCTCGGATCGCGCAGCATCATTTGGCGCCGTCTGTGGGAAGCGCTTCAAAAAGCCTTCCTCTAATCTCCACAACTCCCTCTCTAAAATTCAGCATTCATGGCTTCTTCCAGCAATGTCAGACGAGGTGCAAACCGAAACATCTCTGAGGAACAACCCCAACTTCCCACTGTCTGCATCGGATAGTTCACCGTCCCCCTCTCTGCGGATGGAGTTCCTAGTCTGAATGTGCCTCAAACAGTGGCACCCGTGAACGTTCCACTCCCCCCTACAATTGGAGCAACCTTCCTAGAACCCTCCACCATCCCTCCGGTGGCCAGCCAAAGCCAGCTTGAGGACCTGATGCAATGCATGCGAGCTATGCAAGCTCAAATGCAACAGTTCCAACAGCTTCAACTTTATCAGCAGCAAGTGTTGCACCAAGTTTCACAGTATCAGTATCAACAGTAGTTTCCCCCACTGCCTCAAGCCCAGCAGCCACTCCCTCCCCGACATCCGGCCACACAGCAAGCTAAGCCCCGCCGCCGGAGCGGACTTCCTTCTCGCCGAGGAGAGACCTCGGCATCGTCTCGTGGCGGAAAAGAGAGACCAGCTACCCCTGCCTCGCAACTTGCGGTCAGGTCGGGGGCCTCCCAGCCAGTTAGGCCCACGTTGCCTCAGCATTCACAGTTCGAGCTCCCACTTGTGGAAAACTAGTTCGAGGTGTTGGCCGCAGACTTGAGGCAAGGCCCCTCAGTTCGCAACTACCAACAGCAGTCCAAGCCCCTCCTTGGGCCCATTGAGCTCGGTAATACCGAAGCCAGCAGCACTAACGCCGAGCCAGCAAGGAAGCAGCGGAGGCGCCGCCGAGCTCGCTGAGCTCCCACTCACGACCTCCCCGAGCTCCGGGGTAAGGAAGAGGTAAGCTCGGGTGAAGTAAAAGTTACACCACTTCTTTCACTTCCTTCTCTTCTGTCTCCAAAACTTCTTGTTGTTCCTATGCCAAAGGATTTCAAGCTTCCACCACTGGATAAGTATGACGGATCCTTTGACCCGAATGACCAAGTGGACGCCTTCCAGTCCCAGATGCACCTGGCAAGGGCCAGTGAATCCTGTATGTGCGTGGCTTTCTCCACCACCTTCAAAGGGGTAGCCCGTACATGGTACCGAAACCTTGCGCCCGGATTGATAAGGAGCTGGGCGCAGTTCGTGCAAGTCTTTGTTTCCCACTTTGTCACCAGCAAGAGATGCCCAAGAACTCAAGAGAGCCTCCTTGGCATAGTCCGTACATGGTACCGAAACCTTGCGCCCGGATCGATAAGGAGCTGGGTGCAGTTCGTGCAAGTCTTTGTTTCCCACTTTGTCACCAGCAAGAGATGCCCAAGAACTCAAGAGAGCCTCCTTGGCATAGTTCAGAAGGAACGGGAGTCCATCCGAAACTATATCAAGCGATTCAACGACGCTTGTTTGCAAATACCCGACCTGGACCCTGCAATTCGGCTCATTGCGGCCAAGTGAGGCATCACCCAAAAAGAATTCAAGTGGCATGTGGTTGTTAATCAGCCCAAGACTGTGATCGAGTTCCTCAAGCTCACGGATCAGTTTATAGGGACGGAGGAGGCGATCAACCAGAAAGGTGAACAGACCCTTAAGAAAAGAAAAAGGGAGACGGAGCCCTCAACCCAGGGAAATAGTAAGAAGAAGAAGGACCAAGCTCGGGGGGCAAGGCCAGGACAGCCTTTCCGAGCTCCGGTAGCAGAAAGGGCAGACTACACGCCCTTGGACGCGAAGCAGGCCGAAATCCTTATGGCCATCAAGGACGCCCCGTATGTGAAGTGGCCACCTCGGTTGAAAGCAAACCCTAACGTAAGGAATAAAAATTTGTATTGTAATTTCCATAAAGACCACGGTCATAGTATCAAAAATTGTAAAAACCTCCGTGACGAGATAGAGGAGCTCATCTGTCGCAGATACCTGAGGAATTTTGTATAGAATAATAATAATAAAGCACCTCGGTAGGGGGAGTAGAGTAGAAACGCTCCCAAACCCAGCAGGCAGGCAAAGCAACCGTAGAGGTAGCCCCCGGAAGAGAGACCAGTTCGGGGGACTATCCACGTGATCATTGGAGGTTCAATTGTCACGGGCTGCACTTCGGCAGCAGCTCGGGCATCAGCTCGCGAGGCCGCTAGGGAAGAACAGAATCCCCCGAAGCGGCCAAGGATGGAAGACTCAATCTTCTTCACAGAGGACGACACGTGCGGGGTCCACTACCTCCATGATGACGCGCTCGTCATAAAGATAAAGATTAACGACTTTGAAGTCAAGCGTGTCCTCGTCGAGTCGGGCAGCTCGGCGGATATCCTTTTCAAAGCAGCATTCGACCAGCTCCAGCTCCAAGAAAGTGATATGAAGCCCGCAAATACTCCTCTGGTAGGCTTCAGCGGAGAGGAAGTCAGGCCCCTGGGAAGGATTACAGTACCTGTGGAAGTCGGCACTTGACCTAGCATAGCGAGGCTCAACCACGACTTCTTAGTGGTCGCAACCCCCTCCCTATACAATGCCATAGTAAGTCGGCCGATCACCCATGCTTTACGTGTGGTGGTCTCCACTTACTATCTGATAATGAAATTCCCCATAGACTTCGGAATCGGGATAGCGCGGGGTGATCAGCTTGACTCTCGCAAGTGCTACGTCGCCGCCCTCAAAGGGAAAGCTAAGGTGGCCGACGACCTCGAGCTGGAACGACCTACAGAGCAATGCGAGGAACGAGCTGCACCCACAGAAGAGATTGTCTCCATCCCGGCATCGACAGAGGACCCATCTCGGACACTTCAGATCGGTGATTCTATTGAGGAGCCTCTGCGATCCCAATTGGTAAGTTTTTTACTTGAAAATTTAGATGTTGCATGGTCCGCGACAGAGATGCCCGACATAGACCCTAGCATTATGACTCACAAAATAAATACTGATCCTGTAGTTAGGCCCGTTAGATAGAAGAAATGCAACTTAGCCCCAGACCGATGAAGGGCAGTCGACGAGGAGGTCGGGAAGCTCCTCGCAACCGACTTTATTAGGAAAGTCCATTACCCGAGCTGGGTGACCAACCCCGTTCTGGTAAAAAAGGTTAACGGTAAATGGCGCATGTGCGTCGACTACACCGACCTGAACCGAGCTTGCCCAAAGGACTGCTTCCCACTCCCCAGGATCGACCGTTTGGTGGACGTGACCTCAGGGCATGAGTTGTTGAGCTTCTTAGATGCCTATTCGGGCTACAACCAGGTCAGGATGGATCCAACTGACAAAGAAAAGACTGCCTTCATAACCGAGCTCGGCCTATACTATTACAAGGTCATGCCCTTTGGGTTGAAAAATGTTGGGGCAACCTTTTAGAGACTTGTAAATAAATTATTTGAGCCACTGATTGGCAGGAAAATAGAATGTTATGTAGATGACATGGTCATCAAAACCCAATTTTCACATGATTTAATACAAGATTTGCATTCGGTTTTTGAAATTCTGCATAAGTTTAACATGAAATTGAACCCAAATAAGTGTGTCTTCGGTGTCACCTCGGGTAAATTCCTAGGGTACATTGTTAACCGGCGCGACATTGAGGCTAACCCGGACAAAATTAAGGCTATCCTAGAAATGAGACCACCCCGGAAATTGAAAGAGGTTTAGAAGTTGAACGGCCGTTTAACCGCTCTGAGTCGTTTCATGTCCAAGTCGGCATACCGTTGCATGCCTTTCTTTAAGGCAATAAAAAGCAAAGGCTTTGAATGGACTGAAGAGTGTTAGCTTGCGTTCGACGAGCTCAAAAAGTGCCTCGCCAGCGTCCCTATCTTAACCCTACCCGAAGAGGGTGATGTTTTAGAGTTGTACCTCTCGGAAAGTGACGAGGTGGTCAGCTCGGTACTAATAAGAGAAGTAGATCGGGTCCAACGACCTGTCTACTATGTAAGCAAAGTGTTGTAGGGAGCAGAGACGAGGTACCCAGAGAGAAAAAAACTAGCCTATGCACTAGTCATCCAGTATGCACTAGTCATCACAGCTCGGAAGCTCCGTCCGTACTTCCAAGCTCACACCATCGTCGTCCTTACCAACAAACCTCTAAGGCAAATCCTACTCAAGCCCGAGGTCTCCGGAAGGTTAATGAAGTGGGCCATCGAGCTCAGCGAGTACAAGCTTCAGTTCAAGCCGCGAACTGCTATCAATGCTCAAGCCTTGTCAGATTTTGTCGCAGAATGCACTTCAACTCCAAAGTCCCCAGGTCGGTCGAACACGAGGCCCCCAGCTCGGGCGAGCCCGAGGTTCCCAGGCCGGTTGAGCTCGAGCACCGTGAAGTAGCAACCAGCGCGGCATCTCTCCTAGTCAGACCAAGTGCGAATTGGGATGAGGAGCCCTGGATCCTTCACGTAGATGGCTCGTCAAACCAACAAGGCAACGGAGCTGGGATCGTTCTGTATGGGCCGAGCGGTGTGAAACTGGAGTATGCACTATGCTTCGAGCTCGCAGCATCCAACAACGAAGCAGAGTACGAGGCGTTACTAGCTGGGCTGAATCTAGCAAACGAGGTGAAAGCCAAGCACATTGTCGTCTGCAATGATTCTTAGCTCGTGGTCAACCAGGTTACGGCTGAGTACGAAGCTCGCGAGCCAACCATGATAGATTACTTAGCCAAAGTAAGAGGGGCTCTGCTCAACTTCTAGTCACACTTCATCCAGCGGATCCCGAGATCAGAGAACGCTGTGGCCGATGCCCTATCCCAGTTAGCCAGCACTAGTGATAACACCATGAGAACCGTGTATATAGAGAACTTACCTCGGCCTAGCATTCTCAGGGGGGCAGAGGAGGTCGCTCCCGTCGTTCAAGCAGAGTCGAGCTGGATCGATCCGGTCGTGAGCTTCCTGCTACATGGAACCCTCCCTGCAGATCGTAATGCCGCCAGAAGGGTAGAGCGTCAGGCAGCCAAATACATCATGATAGATGAACGACTATACCGAAGATCGTACACGCTCCCCTATCTGCGCTGCTTGTGACCCTCTGAGGCCGAGCTCGTCCTCCGCGATACTCATGAGGGCCTGTGCGGCGGACACTTAGGGGGCAGGGCCCTCGCCCAGAAAGCACTGCGATAGGGGTACTACTGGCCAACGATGAAGGCAGATGCAACCGAACTCGTCAAAAGATGCGACAAGTGTCAGAAGCACACCAACATCCACCACCAGCCTGCCGCCGACCTAAAGTACCTTACTAGCCCGTGGCCATTCGCACAGTGGGGGATCGACATACTCGGGCCATTCCCACCAGCAACAGGGCAAAGAAGATTTCTAGTGGTAGCAGTCGATTATTTCACTAAGTGGGTTGAGGTTGAACCCCTCACAACAATCACAACTCGGAATGTGCAGAACTTCTTCTAGAAGAGCATAGTGTGTCGTTTCGGACTACCTCGGGTACTGATCTCTAACAATGGTAAGTAGTTTGAGGACATCAAATTCCAGAACTGGTGTCAAGACATGGGAATTCAACAGAACTTCACCTCGGTGGCACACCCTCAAGCAAACGGTCAAGCGGAAGTCACGAACAGAGCTATCCTCTGCGGGCTAAAGGCATGCCTAGACCGAGCTAAAGGACTATGGGCAGACGAGTTGCCCAGCGTATTATGGGCTTATCGGACCACAGTAAGGACCGCAACAGGCGAGACTCCCTTCAATCTCACTTACGGCACTGAGGCAGTAATCCCTGACGAAATCGAGGTTCCCACGCTATGACTAGAAGCATATGATGACAAGGGAAATGAAGACGAGCTACGCACCAACCTCGACCAACTTGACGAGGTACGGGACCTTGCATATATCAGGACCGCGGCCTACCAGCAAAGAGTAGCTCGGTACTATAATGCCAAGGTCAAAAAGCGGAACTTCCGCGTCAGAGACCTGGTTCTTCATAAAGTTATGGAGCCTGAGCCCGGCGTTGGTAAGCTCGGGCCTAATTGGAAAGGACCCTACCGAGTAAAGCGGGTGCTCGGGGAAGGTACATACGAGCTCGAAACCCTAGAAGGGAAACAAGTACCTCGGGCATGGAACACTGTCAACTTAAGGCAATATTACCCATGATCGTCTAGCTGAGTAAACTACAAGTCGCTCTCTGAGCCCAAGGGCCAAAATGCCAAGCTAACGATGACCTCGGCACTATAGGACCCAGTCGCCTCTTCGGCATGGGCAAACTCCAGGAGAGGATGGATCGTAGTCGCTCCCAGAGCCTAAGGGCCAAAATAACGAACTAACAATGACCTCGGCACTATAGGGCCCAGTCGTCTCTTCGGCATGGGCAAACTCCAAGAGGGGGTGGACCGTAGTCGCTCCCAGAGCCTAAGGGCCAAAATGCCGAGCTAACGATGACCTCGGCACTATAGGACCCAGTCACGTCTTCGGCATGGGCAGACTCTAGGAGGGAGTGACTAAAGTCACTCCCCCCAGCCAAAGGGCTAAAACGCCAAGCTAACCAAGGGCCTCGACACTGTAGTGCATAGTATGCCAAGGACGCAAGCAGCTCAGGTATGGACCCTACGATGCTTAGCCCACCTCGGCATACAACGGGTTGGACCCGCTAGGGATAGCCAGCAAGTCAAGTACTGGAAGACAGTTCGGGCATATGCCTTACTATGTTGCTCACCTCGGTGTATGTTATAAAAACCACCCCTACAAGGTATTGGGAGACAGTTCGGGGAGGCGACAGATGAAAAACCCTACTTCGGACACTTAACAGTTCGGATAAAGCAGTCACTCTAGCAAAAGTATAAAGTGCATAGTACTTTGCAAAAAAGCAAAATTCATTGATTGAGAGTTCCATACAATGAGCTCAGTAAAAAAGAAAAGAAACTAAAATTGAGCTCACAGGCTCAAGGTACAAGGACTACACACTATTTTGGGGACTTGTCATCTTTACTCGGGACCTCCCCAGGAGCTTCTACCAGGTCGGTGGCATCTGCCTCTTCATCGCCGCTCTCCTCTTCAGAATCTAGGTCCTCTGTGGCCTGGCGGGCTATCTCGTCCGTGATCCGCGAAGTGGTGATGACGCTCGTGTCGAGCTCGGGGTATGTGTGCCTTTTCAACCACCTACTAAGCTTGAAGCCCTTACAATAGGCCTCCGTCAGCACGGTGTCAAACTTGTCTGATCTGACATAGTCTAGGGCGGCCTTAACCTTGGTCTCCTCTATGGCCTGGTTGAAGATCTCAGTTTTCTCCTCAATATCGGCCTTGAGGAACTCCACCTCGTGCTTCAGGACCCCTTTATCCTCCTTAAGGCCTTTCACCTTGAGCTCTAAAGCCCCCTTGCCTGCCTAGAGGGCGCTCACCTCGCTCTTCAGCTCATCCCTCTCACGTGTCAGCTCCTCCTTCTCCGCCATCAGCGCCTCAATGACATTCTTTTGAGCTAAAGAATTGCTCTCCAGCCGATAGATTTGGTCACGAGCTTCCCTCAGATCGGTGTGGGCTGCGCAAGCCAAGTCCTCAACAGTTAGAGCCCGTTTCAAATGCCTCTCGGACTGAAGGGTCAAGGCGTACACGGCGGAGTTCACCTGACCAGAGAGGATTGGTTAGCACCGAAGAGATGTACAAAAAAAAAAGAAAAAAAAAGGGGGGATAAAAGAGAAGAGAGAGAAGGGTCTTTATAACTTACCACCATTGTGTGGGTGGCAGCTCGGGCTCCGAGTTGAGCAGGAGTGAGGTCGACCCAAATGGAGACCTCTTCGGTGTAGACAGCCCCCTTGCTCTTTCAAAGGCTGCACTGAGGAATCAGGATGCTCCGGGCTCCCTCTTGACTCCCCGAGCTGGAAATGGCCGTCTCGGCTGTGTGGATGGGCTCAGCGGATGCTTCAGCCACTGCATCATTGGCCTCGGTGGCGACCTTGCGCTCCACAGCTGCCTGTGGAGCAAGCTCTGCCGATGTCTCGGGCTCCCGAGGTGGTCGGATCTCCTCCAAGTCGATGATTGGAGGTACGTCAGGGAGCTCAGGCTCAGAGGTAGGAGCTTGCGGAAGCTCGGGTTCGAAAGTGGGGGCCTGTAGAGACTCGACGCGAGCTCTCTTGGCAGCTCGCTTCTTCCTCCCTTTCATTTGGTGGAAAAGCTTCTCCCCCTTAAGCTTCTCTTCTTCCATGGGCCCTACAACATAGCTCGGCATTAGTAAACATGAAAGTACCAACTATTTAAGCAAGGTACTAAGTAAGACAACCTACCCGGGCTCAAGCTGGCCTGTATGAGCTTGCTCTCGGGGATATAATCCTAGTAATTAAACCCGAGCTCAGCCCATGATTGGAGCATCTCCCTTGTCTTCTTGTCTAGGATAACGCCGGGGTCTTGAATAGCCACCCTCCAATGAGTGGGGAAGGGCCACCTCGCGGTGTTCCGGACTACAAAGTAGTCCTGCTTCCAGGCCAGAACTTTGCTAGGAAGCTTGTGTAGTAACTTAAAACCCGGGCGAGGGGACAGGTAGTAGGCCCGCCTGTGCTCGGGGAGAATGCTTGAAGCGCTCTTCTTTATTGAGAGGATCGAGCAAAAAATATCCAAGTTCAAAGGAAGGAAATACTCGAAGCAAAGGGATATGGTCCCGACCACGTTATGAACGGAGATCGGGTGAAGTTGGTCTATTGTGACGTTGAAGTGGTTCAAGACCTCTACAATAAGAGGGTGGAAAGGAAGACGGAGCCCGGCTATAAGCTGCTCCCGGAAGATCACGATCTCGTCAGGACCATGCTCCCATGGTATGTTACCCGCAGGAAGTCTGTAGGTATACTCCCTACGTAGATTGTATTGCCAGATGAGGTATTGAAGCCTCTCCAGGGTCATAATGGAGGGACTGAACCTATCCGGCATCCGACCTCGGTGAGAGGTGGACGCCAGATTACCCGAGGCCTCCCGCGCCTCGTGAGACTGGACTTCGGTGGGGTCACCCTGAGCCGAGGTACCTACCTCGGGCTCATCCAATTGGCTATCGAAGCTAGACATAGTGGAGAAAACCAAAACGAACTGGAAGGAAAAGAAACTGAAAGAAAAGCAAAGGGGACTCACCAAGGAAAAGCAACCGAACTAAGGAGAATTGACCCGAGCTGGAGACCTTAGATGCGAGCTCAAGACGAGTCCTGAGGACTTATTGCGAGGGAAAATGACCAAGACCCCCGCTATTTATAGCCACTGTACTCGGGCATCAACGGTCAAGATTAAGACGATCTGACGGCTCTCAAGAAAATCGGCTTCACGACCCCCGAGATGAAATCGGTTTAGCGCGTTTTTTGACGTCCGTGGAGTTCATAGATCGCGTGACGTCCGCGCGTAGACTGTACGTGACTCGGGTTGCCCTTGATCGAGCCGAGCAGTGAACTGGTCTAACTAATAAGCTGCCTGACCAGGAGGCCAGAGCTCCGAGCCAAATTCACCCAGCACACCGCAGACTCCCCGCACTGGGTCAGAACCCCCAGCACGGGGAGTGGGGGCAATTGATGGAGGGTGATTTGGGGTGACCTCGTCGCACGGGGACACGTGGGTACAACCTGGCATAAGTGACAGCTCAGCGTGGCAGCCTGGCCATAACTCGGCATACTAAACTCGCCGGAGCCCAGCAATACAACTCGGCAGATGTAGCAGCTCGTCGAGAACATCTAGCATACTCTGAATTCTCCCTAAGGGAGGAGGACTCCCGAGCTCCTCCCGAGACCCGAACTCTTCCTTCCTGAGAAGGGAACACCCCGATCTACGGGAAGTATCCCGAAGTGAGGGCACTTTGGGATAACCCCATTAACGCTCCTGCCCATACTTGCCTAAGGCTCGCCTCAAGCATTCGCACCTCGGCTACCCCATCACCCCGGTGTAGGGTAGCTCGGACCAAGGCAGCTCGGGGCAAAGTAGCTCGACAACCTGCAAAAAAGATGTGCCTGACAATAGTACCTGCCGAATGTGGAGGCTGTGCCCATGTCTCTTGTCAGGTGGCGTCGTGCCAGCCACTTCTGCCAGATGTGGCATGCCTGACAGGTTCGTACCCTGCAACGGCTGCCCACATCTGCCACCTCAGCTCTGGCAATAACGGCTATGGCAGAGGTGGTTACGCCTGATTTGAGAGATATTCAATATAAAAAGACCCTGACCCTCGAAGAGAAGAGGTATTGAACTTGCGTCATCTGCACTCTAAGCTCTTTGTTTGTATTCTTCAGTTTTCTCAGAGTTCTAACTTAAGCATCGAAGTGTTCCCGCTGGATGAGCTCCTCGGGAATTCTTCACCTTCCTCTTCGTCTCAGGTACCGTCCGTCACAGCTAGGAGCCAGTTTCCGCCAGCTAGGAGTGCCCGGATCGCGCAACATCATTTGGCGTCGTCTGTGGGAAATGCTTCAAAAAGCCTTCCTCTAATCTCCACAACTCCCTCTCTAGAATTCAGCATTCATGGCTTCTTCCAACAATGCCGGACGAGGTGCAAACCGAAACACCTCTGAGGAACAACCCCAACTTCCCACTGTCTGCATCGTACAGTTCAGCGTCCCCCTCTCTGCGGACGGAGTTCCCGGTCTGAATGTGCCTCAAGCAGTGGCGCCCGTGAACGTTCCACTTCCCCCTACGATTGGAGCAACCTTCCCAGAACCCTCTGTCATCCCTCCGGTGGCCAGCCAAAGCCAGCTTGAGGACCTGATGCAATGCATGCGAGCTATGCAAGGTCAAATGCAACAGTTCCAACAACTTCTTTATCAGCAGCAAGTGCTGCACCAAGTTTCCCAGTATCAGTATCAACAACAGTTTCCCCCACTGCCTTAGGCCCAGCAGCCACTCCCTCCCCGGCATCTGGCCATGCAGCAAACTAAGCCCCGCTGCCAGAGGGAACTTCCTTCTCGCCAAGGAGAGACCTCGGCATCGTCTCGTGGCGGAAAAGAGAGACCATGCATGTGGGGCTCACATACATTTTACAAGGTGGGCCCGGCATACCATTGGTAAACATGCATGTGGGGTCCATGTCTGGACATGTATGTGGGGCCCACATACCATCAGTGGACATGTATGTGGGGTCCATGTGTTGACATGTATGTGGGGCCCATGTACATTTTACAAGATGGGCCCAACATGACATTGGTGGACATGCATATGGGATCCATGTGTGGACATGTATGTGGGGCCCACATACATTTTTCAAGGTGGGCCCCACATACCATTGTTGGACATGTATGTGGGGCCCACATACATTTTACAAGGTGGGCCTAACATACCATTGGTGGACATGCATGTGGGGTCCATGTGTGGACATGAATGTGGGGCCCACATGCATTTTACAAGGTGGGCCCCACATGCCATTGGTGGACATGTATGTGGGCCCACATACATTTTTCAAGGTGGGCCCCACATAATACCTAATGTGGGCCACAATTTTTCCAAAGTGGGCCCCACATACCATTGGTAAGTCCCACTTACACATTCAAATAGTTTTTAGTGGAAAGATAACCCATTTTCTCCCAAGCATGTGCATCATGCCACACATTCGATGAAGACGAGATGCTAAAAGATCGTAAAAGCTTCCTGAAAAAGCTCAAATTCAGGTTGTTAGCGTCTTTTATGGGCAAGAGCTTTTTCCCAATAGATCTTTTCATTGCCAAACGGGAAAAACCCACAATTCAGGCTTCTGGATTGGTCCATTCCCATAGTCTGTTTGGTTCAGATAGGAATGGGAATGAGAATTAAAATTAACAGGAATGGGATTTCATTCCCAAAGGAGGGTCATTCCCTCGAATGGGGGAATGTCATTCTAGCAGGAATGAGAATGGGATTTCGATTCCACCCAATCAAACAATTAGAATTGGAATAGCCCATTCCGATTTTGATTCCAGACCCATATTCTTGTGAACCAAACGGGGCCTTACTTCATGGTTTGAATTATAAATTTGTTTCGTTTTTTTTTTATGCCTAACGTCACTTACAAATAAAGTTGCTCAAAATTAACTAACATTCAAATTCAACACATCCACAATGAAACAAGGACAATGCGACCATGTGTTTGCATCAGAGATGGAGAGAGAATGTAGGAATGGCAATGGGGCGGAGCGGGGCGGGAGGGGGTGGGTTCTGCCTACCCTGTACTCTACCCTGAATTCAAATTCCCTGCCCTGTACCTGCCCCAAACCCTAATAAGGCTAAAAATCCTAACCCCATCCTCATCCTCGTGGGGAATGGGGATCCCCAACTTTGCCCCGCCCCACCTTGGTGATTCTTACTTGTATACTTATTAATTTATTTTTTTATTTTTTTGAAACTTATGTAGAACTATTTTACGTTATGTAATATAATATAGTATAATATAATAAATAATACTATAATATAATATAATATAATATCCTATATTAATAATTATATATATATTATGTTATATAATATAGTCGGGCCAGGGTGGACAAATATCATCCCTGCCCCGTCCCTGACCCTAGAGTTTCAGATTTTCTCTGAATTCGCTTTAAGCCCTAATCAATGGTAAAAAAACCCACCCTAATCGAGGCGAGGCGACACGGGGCCTCACAAGTACGGGTCAAATTACCATCTCTAAAAGCATGTCGAGCAATGAAGAAGTGAGCCAACTTATTTAGCATTTCGAGTCGAGGTACATATTTCACTAAGCCGTGCCTAGTGGAAGCAAGGATTTAAGTATCAGTATCGGGTATCTTATCAGACAATTCGGATACAGATACAGATATGCTTTGGAAACGCATGGATATGGACAAAAAATATGAAAATGCATAGATACGCTAAAAAATACATACAAATTCCATAAATAAAATAATATCATTAAATTTAAGATCAAAATAATCACAAATAGTATATAAATACATAGGAAATGTATATTTTAGTGATATATATGAAGAAATATATTATAATTAATATATCAGGATGCATAGATATCATATAATTTTATATGCAATGCATTAATCAAGAGTCCAAGGCACTAAACATATGCACCTATTATATTTTAATTATTATATAAATTATTTTTATTTTTATTTTTATTTTTAAAATTTTTAATATTAACAAAAGTCAACTAAATATTAAATTCTCAAATACAAATTAAAATATTAATTAATAATTTATAAAAAAATCTAATCTTAACTTAATGTATATCAAATTTGTTAAAATTTATAATATGCATATCATATAAAAAATCATAATTTTTAATTACTAAAATAATTATTCCTTTATTAATATTTTATTTATATAATTTTTCTAATATGAAAAATAATTTTTTGAAATAAATGTAGATTAATGGATTTGATAAATTCAATTTAATGTTATTTTCTTAAATATTTTATAAATAATATTTTTCTTTTTATAAATAATAAATATGTTGTTATTACTTATTAAAATATTAATTAATAATTTGTAAATATATAATAATTTTAATATGCATATCATTTGCAAATTTATAAATATTAAGTATTAAAATAATTATTCTATTCTTAATATTTTATTTGTATAATTTTCTTGATATTAAAAATCATCTTTTTATATAAACATGGATTTGATAGATTATTTATTGTATTAGTTTATAAAATACTGTTTTTGAATATTTTTCCTTTGAAATTTTAGTTTTTTTCTTTTTGTATTCGTTTTGAAATTTTAGATAGAGTTTTTTTTTTGGTAATAGAGATTGAAAAAATCGCATGTAGAGACAGAAGTTAATAAAATTTATTTTATTTGATTTATTATCACAAGGATAAATGTGGATTAATGGCTTAGAATTGCATTTAAAGTATAAGGCTCTGGTGCACTCTATATCTGAGATTGAATCACCATATTTGCACTTTTTATAAAGAAACACTGCATCCTGTATGGATCTATTCTCGTATCGATATCTAAATTCTTGAGTGAGAGATATGAGCTAAGATATATGCATGCAATCGGCTGGGTATCAAACATCTGATACACAAGGAGGGGCAATAGAGCCACCCAACTCAACAGTGGATCTCCCTCAATTTCGATATTTTAGAAACAATAACGCCTAAAGATTCCAAAAGGGCCAATAGTCGACAGCGATCCAACTGATTTTAGGTGATCCAATTCAGCCCAATAGGAAAAGCCAATCCAAGAGGGAGAGTCTCCAATCAGGCGCAATCCTAACCGAGAGCCCAATTGCTTTTTAATAGATGGGTTTATAGGACATATGAGGAATATGCAAAATCATCCAAATTGTGAAAACTAGGTAAAATACGGAAAAAAAAGGCGCCTACATAAGTTATGCTTTTTAAATTGTCCCTATATTTACCTTAACTTGAAAATAAAAATAAATAAATAACTGTAAAAACTGGAGAAAGAAAAAAATTGCTTTTAAATAGTTCCAACTTCCGATATCAGCTTGAATCGGTGCAAATTCCACTCAAACGGTGTTCCAACAGTCTTGTATTGAAAACATCTCCCTACTTCTATGTTTTATTTTAGAATTCAAAATTCTGCATCATTTGTATCCATACTTGCCCGTTTATTTTATGGGAAAATACTTCCAATGCAAAAGTATAAAAACTGTTCGAATGCGACGAATGGGACTTGCACTGACTGAAGCAGTTTCCCAACTTCCAACTAACCTAGACGAGCCTCACAAATGGGATGCCACAAGAAATGTGTATTAAACAGATCTATATATGCTATTCAGATGTTATGCATGTGTATACAATAATATCTTAGCAGCATCAATTTAAAATATATTTCCTAATAAATAAAATAATTCATTAATTTTCAGTAAATGTATTGGGTTACTAGGCAAGGTCCTGGGCCGTCCATCCTGGGCCAAAGTTAGGCCCAGGCCTGACATAACCCCAAAAGCATTAACTGTTCCCTGTAAATGGTGCTCTATCACCTATCGCAACGGCATGCGTAACTACTGTGTTGTCACTTTTCATCCATCAAGAACAGCTACACCTGGCATTTACTTCTCAGTTCCCACCATTGTTAACATTAAGTCGGTTAACATCAACGTTTTTAAAATCGGATCGGACATGGAACCGTTCTGGGATCGGTTCTCAGGTTGAAGGGTCCGACTGTTTGATTTGAACGGATAAATGGCCAAAAACCACTGTTCTGATCAACAATTTGAGTGTTCAGGTCTATGGATCGTTTGATCAAATCAATAATTTTTTATCAAAAAACGATTTTAGGGTGAAATATAACTAATCGGTTTCTGGATTTTTGGGTCCAATCCGATTTTCAAAACCATGGTTAACATCATAGAATAATCCTTTGAACATTTTTTAAACTCGAAATTACCCTTATTTTATGAGATTATTCTGCCCTATGACCCCATAGTCAAGATGGTCACTCGGTATCCTTGCAATGGGAGGTGCATGATCAAACCTATGGAACTATGGGTCCATGCCCTTAAGCATTTTTCACTTAATGTAAGTGATCATACTACTATTTTCAGATGGCAAAATAAAGAATTCTTAACGAAATATTGATTAAGTAAATAATTATAAACTATAATGGATTTTAGCAAAATAAAAACTATAGGGTAGGTTTAATTAAATCTATAAAATTATAGGGATGTTTAATAAATGACCCTAGGAGAATAACAAAAGAAAAAATAAAAAAAGAATCACGATGCATGGTGAATTGACCCCACCCCACGCATCAAAAATAACAAATATAGGAGAGCTTTACATTAGATATTCACGAATTTGATAAAGAGTATTGATGATGCGCAATCCGGCCGGTCTTAGCTGTCAATGACCTTGCCTCTGAATCGAGTAGCGGGGACCTGAAACGGAGGAGATGAAGAAGCTCCAGGGAGAACCCGATGTAAAGGCTCCGAAGCTTAAGTTAGAATCTTTCAAAGGCAAGATAAACCAGATAGCGCAAGGTTTTTGCATACCTCCTCTTTGGGGGTGGAGCACCTTTTATAACCACCTCACACACTCACTCCTAGACTCCTGTCAGGTCGGGAATGAGTATTTCCGTGCTTCTGCCAGTCCGAGCGTCATTGCCTCTGCTGGGGCAGAATCGTCGCTGCTCCTTTTGTCGGAGCCGTCTTTGTAACTGGAGGCAGTGGTGACAGGTGATGGTGGCAGGTGGCCATTGGAAATGCGGCCGTCAAGCGTCAGATCCCAAGTCAGTCAGGTGTGCCGCCCCTGGATACGGACTCCTTCAGTGTCTCCCTACGGTGTGGTTCATCCAGTTCAATGCTCCGGAAGCGAAGTGCCTGGAGTGGTGCGTAAGGCAAAGTCTCGAGTTTGGAGAAGGGGAGAACCTGAATTGTCATAAGACGGGCCCGTTCGGGTCTCTGCTTTGTGTGACAGGGTCAAAAGGGAGAGTTCGGGCTCCTCGCAGGGAGTCCGATCACTAAGTAGGGAGTTCGGGCCTCTTGCTAGGGAGTTCGAACTCTAGGTAGGGAGCTCGATCACTAAGTAGGGAGTTCGGGCCTCTTGCTAGGGAGTTCGAACTCTAGGTAGGGAGCTCGGGCACTAAGTAGGGAGCTCGATCACTAAGTAGGGAGTTCGGGCCTCTTGCTAGGGAGTTCGAACTCTAG